AATTCAATCATCACAAGACATTTGACCAGATTAAACCAGAAAAATTCCAAGCAATACAGAATTATTTACCTCCTATGGACGTAATTAGCTACTGGCCTGGAATAATTTACGATGAAATATAAATCAAAGGGAAGAAAAAAATACGCAATATTATCTTAGCAAAACGAAAATTCACAAATCACTACGGAAAAAGGTTTAATCCGTACTTTGCGAGATTAAATAAAACTATACAAAAGAAGACAAACTAGTGATCCAAGGATGGTGCAAAGTTTGTGCCTTATAAGAATTAAGCAGAAAGTGGTTTCTTAGGAAATTCTGAGGTTGCTTTTTTCTGCACACCGTATAAAGAAAAGGTGTATTAACTATGATTACTGCGAAAGTTAACAAATCAAATGTGGGAATTTGAGAATTATCAACAATACTGCAAAATGGGTGCGAAAATGGCCCGATTTATCTGATTATAAACAGACAGATATTGTAGAATCTTGCATGTCACTGCCCACCATGCACAATTTTGCACGTCAATCTTGCACGGTGATGTTAAATCGCATTGTAATTTCTTTGTCAATACAACCATTTGCAAGTTTCCGTTGAGCGCGCCGTCAAAACAAGGTTTTAAAAAGTTATAATTAGCATGTTTGACAAGTCAAATGTGTCACTTTTACGGGTGTAACTTTCAGTTTTGGCGATGTCGCCAAAATTAAAATTTAACAGTAGCTTGTAATATTTTTGTAATGTTTTGTAATGTTTTGCATCTTGAATATTCAGCACCGTAAAAGATCTTAACTTGCGCAATCCCATTCCGATAACAAACGTCGAAAGTACAGTCAGTGTATTTTCAAAGTAGATTGAAAATACGACAAGGCTTTTTGAATTTTTTCTTTTCCTATTTAGTGTTTGTGACGAGAGTTAATTTGTGGCATAATATTTATTTATTTTGTTTTACACTTTTTGCTATACAGAGAAGAAGTTCTCCAATAACGAAGTTCAAAAACAGTTGAAATAATTGTTCAGTAAACATTGAACAGTGAGGCTAACATTAGGAAAAATTATTCGACAAACAACTTAAAAACATATACACTTAAACAGGATAGGTGGCTGACAAACTACTTTAAAACATATAAACTTACACAAAGCAGCTGGATCAAGTAAAAAAACAGACAAAGAATAACAATGGACAAAAACGTTAATGAACGAAATACCCCGCAAATTAGTCATGCGCTATTGGAAAGTTAGCAACATGATTTCGTTTACGAGATAGTTAACAAACAAGTTGTATGACATTTCATACATACAGGCATTAAAGTCCTCGTATCTTCAGGATTGTAGATAACATTAGCATATAGTTCAGTTTTATTAGATACTGTTTGAATGAAGTAGGAGATTTGGTGGTGTCTTTAACGGTACAAAGAAGCATGTTCCATGTACGTTGGAAGCTTTGATATAATAGCTGTTTATCACACTAACTGTTCGTCGAGTTCGTCGTAAGTATAGTTAAATTCAGTGCGGTAACATTGATCGCATTACCATCACTTGTTTCTTGTACTGATACATTGATGGACGTGTTACTGTCGCGTTGTTTATGATCCACTTAAAAAGATACACCATATCTAACAGCATGTTCAGATATTTAAAGTCTCCGTACGATATATTCATTTATGTGCATGGCAATAATATAAGTTTTGTAGGACGTGGTTGTATACGTTCGATGGTATTACGTTGGACCATTAGTATTCGACATGCGTTCGTAGATTCATTGGGAGATAAATCGTAGTTATTTACCTTCACCACTCTTCTTCGTGTGAGATAGAACAATGACGTCAGTTCTCAACTGAATGATCTGTTCACCCGTTGACAGTTCACCAATAATTGATAGTTGTAAAATTTCTTTTCGTGTCACTGGCATTAATTCCTCGTGGCTTTTATTTTAAACTGTGCGTTCTTGTTATCTTTCACTCTGCCAGGAATTCGCTCTTTACGATTTAACTTGATTGTAGTTCGGTAGTTTTCATGTGACTTCATTGTATCACGAAAACTGACAATTTACAATTGATAGGTGTGTTCCAGGAGTAGATATAGTGTGTAGTTATTAAAGTTATGGATCTTCGTTCTTGCTAATAGTTGGGAAAATCCAAATTTTATCATTTAGACCTGAGGATGCAATATTGTAGTTTTGTTCTTGGATTTGTCTGATTTTGTCTGCAATAAAAAATAAGCACTTCAGTACATAGTTTACCTTAAATAAACGCAATACAGGGGTTTGAACAGCGGCAAGAAAAATTTTCTAAATAGTTAGATGTGATCACAAACTTATGTAATAATAGGTTCCAGTACCTTAGTTATTGCTTTCATTCTCTTAGGCAGCTTCCTTTTATAGTGTTGCATGAAACGTTAATCTTTACTAAGTATGATGGATGACCATGTCACTGAAATAATAAAAAATATATAAGAATATACAAAATGACACAAAATCACAAAATGAGATTTGAAAAAAAACTTACCTCCTTAAAAACATGAGGTCATCACGGGGAAATCTTCCTCTGTTCCTAAGAAGTAGGGACATAGACCCTCCAATTCTTAGAGGAGGACAAGGAGCTTCTAGTCCTGTATCCAGTGTTTTGGACATTTTACCTTTGCTTTGAAGAATAACTTTTTTAGTTTTTGACTCATTCTGGACATTCTACCTTTGTTGTGAAGAACAACTTTTTACATTTTGACTATATTACCATAATGAACTGAAATTTTATCGTTTTTTTATGTATTAACCATTTGTATTTATCATAGTAACTTAAATATCAAATTAGTGAGAGGCTTATGGTCGCTAAAGTACAATTCTAAAACTCCACTGGTTTTTACTCTTTCAGGGATATTAGTATATATGTGATCAATTTGTGTTTTATAGTCTGTTGTCACTTGTTTAATTAGTTGGACGTATTGCTTTTCTTGGATTAAATACTTAGTAAGTGTATTTTTGTCGGATACATTTTCAAGAAGGTTAACATTAAAATCACCAAGAATGATAACAGGAGTATTTGGATAATTTATATACATAGAATGTAAATGTTTTAAAGCATCCATGAACCTTGAAATGTTTTAGAGCGATAAATTCCTACAATATGTAAATTATTTACTGGTTGGTTTACTTTAAGTAATGTCATTTCTACATGATTATAGTTGCACCTCAAAGGTTCTGATATTAGTTGTATATTGTCCTTTAGGTAAACAGCAGTTCCGTAAGGTGTTCTAGCACCATCTGGGATGAAGTCATTTCTGAATAGTTGAAAGCCTGAAATCTGATATAATTCACTGTCGTCATTACTACATAGAGCAGTTTCTACAAACATATTGATATCTGCGGCTTGTACATTATAATCACTTGCAATGTCAGCAACATGAAGATGCAATATCTGACATTTTGGAATAATACTTTAAATGCTCCACTAGTATCTTTATAGAGAATTGGAAGGTGACTTTTCAGGACACAATTTTGTTTTAGTCTTGTCATTTCTTCTTGTACTTTCCTGCTCACTGCTATTTTCTTTTTGTTCAAGTTAAGAATATGTAATCCCGAAAAGTTTCTAAGTCTGCTAAGTGCGACGTAATGCATGTGCTCTCCTTTAAAGATGGAAGGTCAACAACGGCTTCATTTTATGTATCTCCTTGACAACGGTGAATAGTCTTGGCTGCAGATGGTCTTAAGGGAAACTGTCTGCAAAGAACTTGTATTTTATTTTTGGTAAACTGTCTTTTTATCTCAAGAATGGGAACCCACATTTTTTCTATACTCTGATTGTAAAGATAAGAGTATTCTCTGCGATAATCATTCCCAATGTGTTCTTCTTGAAATAAAACCCTGACGATACTTGGTCTTGATGAACCTTCTACGCGGTAATCGATTTTCTTGATGATACATTCAGCACCATTAGTCATACCATCCACAACTGATACGTTTGTTGTGAGGTCATACTTAGCTTCTTAAAGTATTGAACACACTGAGTACAAGCCCATTGTTTTCGAAGGATTGTTTGGGATTTGCTTTTTGAGTCTTTCTTTTAAATCGTCAGATAAGTCTCCAAGTACGATATCTATTGCTTTAACGTTGACGTTGAAGATTTCTGAAAATGGTCATGGTTATGTTGATCAACAGCCATATTAGTACTGAATAAATGGGTTGAAGATATTGGATAATCAGGATGTTGTGGACTAAGGTTTAAAATTCTTTCCTTCAAAACCTCAACATCATTTTCAGTATGATTTCCTTCTCTGATACAATTTAAAATTTGAGCAAATTCTTTGTCTTCTTTTTTTCTCATAATTTCTGATAATTCGAACATTTGAAAATATTGTGCCAGAGATTTGTTGCTAATGCAGCATAACCGTCCTTTGAATTCTCAAATATCCAATTATCAAATACAGGTTTGAGTTGAAACAAGTCGCCAACAGTTATTATACTAAGACCACCAAATGGTTCTTTTGTGCCCATGATTTGTTGTAATCTTTGGTCAAGAAAATTAAACATACCACTGCCCACCATAGATATCTCGTCAATAAAGATAACTTGCATTCTGTGTAACTGAGATCTTATTGTATTCAACCGGTCTCTATCTAGAGTAATAATTAAATCCTCTGTTCGCGGGAATTTTAAACGCGGCATGAAGTGTATTTCCTCATATGTTAAAAGCAGCTTTGCCTGTCGGGGCAACTTTTACAACACTGACATCATGAGGATCATTCTGAGGTTGAGAATTTAAGTATCTTATAAGAGCTTCATACAAAGCATTAGTTACAGTACTTTTACCTACACAAGCACCTCCACTTAAAAATAGTCTCATTAACAGCTTATCAGTCTTGATAGAGTTCAGTACATGGTAAAAAACTCTTTTGTTCAACATTAAGTGATTAGACAAGTTTTCTAAAATCGACATCATTCAGCCTTTTTACAACAAATTCTTCATCATTGTTTGTTTGGGGATAAGTTTGCCAATATCATTTATCAAGTCCTACTGGGCATGTTGTTTATTTTTTCCAAGATCAAAGCATCCGAATAATTCACTTGCTTTCGGGCCAATTTCTCTGTCTTGTTCATCTCTATACTGTGTATTTGGAGTGACTAAATTATTTTCACTTTCAATATCTTGTACGGCCTGATCAAGAACTTTGGTGTGATTCTCATATTGTTTTCTGTTTTGTTCTATCACATCTTTGACAATTTCATATTGGTCTTGGTAATTTTTCAAGTCCTTCAAAAGATCTGTATTTTCATTCCTCCAAGCAGTGTAAAGCATTATCTGTTCTCTACAATAATTTTCTGCATCTTTGTTTTTATTAAATCTAACAGACCATATTATTCTTGGCTTTTGCCTTTTCACCAGCGATAGTCCACCTTTCATTTCATATTGGTCATTTTCATTTTTTTCCTGTTCTTTATCAGAAAGATCATCATCTACATTATCATCGAAATTACTCTCTAAAAGATAGTCATCTATTAATGTTGAATTTGATTTGTGTTTGCTTTGTTGATTACTGTTTATTTTACAATTGAACCAAGCGACAAAATCCCCCAGACATAAATTTTCCAATTTCTTTGGTCTTCTCTGGTATCTTTTAATAATGTTATCTGATTCAATATCAGCAGAATTATCAGGGAGTTCTTTAATTTTATCAATGCTTTTTAATAAGAATGTTCTTTCATCTGGATCAGATGTATTGATAAATTGGGAGTCTCGAGATAATCGTCTCAAAGGTATTTGCATTACTAAGTAGACAGCCTCTTGTGCACTTATTTCGACAGCATTGAGAAATTTGTTACCAATATGTCTCACTTTGTTCTTATTGCCTTCATTTGCTTCTTTGCATGCTTTACGAAGTAACTTGCTCATTCCTCTTTGACTTTTAGTAATATATGAAAGTATATAAACAGCGCAAGCGTAGGGGGATCTAACACATACTGAATATCCATATTCGCTTTCCATGCTCTGAGTAAGTTTGGATTGTAACAGTTATTTTGCATCTCAGCAGGTGATCGTTTCAATAATAAAGTGTTATGTTTAAGAGAAAGTCTTATAGCTTTTAAGTATTGCTATTCCGATAAATTTAACTTTTCAAGAAACTCGTCAAAGGTCATGGTTTCATCAGCTTTAATAGAGTTTAATAAAGAACGTATTTGTTCTAAAGCTTTCTTTAGTATATCCAAGATATTTTCGTCTAGATCAGTTTCAGATAAAGGCTCTAAAATCATAGTTCTTAGCATTGGTGGTAATGGAAAATTAAATCAAATCTCCTGCAAACAGCATTTCCTCTTTTCTTGCACGTTTTGGAGTGCTTATGTCTTTGTAAATTTATTAGTTCAGTTAAGCCATCTGAGTCAGTCCTACACGAAATGTAGGTGTCTACAAATTTGGTAATAACTTCATCGGAATCTTTACCATACTCGGGTGCGTTTTTTATCCAGAACAATCCATGGATATGTGGAGAACCTCTTTGCTGGAATTCAACACGATAAAAAAAGTCAACAACTTCTCCAATTGGATGGCATAAATTTTTTATAAAATTGTGAATAAATAACTGCACCATATGTTCAAAATTTCGTGCACATGTTACTGGATCTTTTTGTATCAGTTCAGACTTCTTTTGCCAAGTCATTTGTTTAACCTCATCGTCAGTGTAGTCTTTTTTGTCAATAAGACGACCAAGAATTTTAATCAAATGAATACAGCGCATTTCAGCAGCTGAAAATGAACAAAACCATGTAGCTGTCCCAAGCTGACGAATCATTGCAAATAGATCTTTCTTACATCTTTCAAAGTATGGAGGGGAACCACGTAAATTTCTTAAAACTCTAAATCCTTCATCTAAATTGATTAACTTATTAACAGAACTTTCAGACTTCAAATCTCCTGCTGTGTAAGTCTTACCCTTAGTTTTACATTTATGCAACAATAAACTTGCACTTCCTTGAATTTGTTTGATCTGCAATTTTTTTAATTTGTAAAAAATGTTTAGTACAGACTGAGCAACTCTTCGATCCTGACTTCTTAATTCCCACTTACAAATCGTACTATAGTGAACAGGCACTAGTCTTTCACTGTTATCAGCTTGACGTTTGCCACAATAAATGGTAGAGAAAGACAGAAATTCAGCATCTTTATCTAAAAATATACCAAGTGGTCTGTTTCCTTCTTCTGGTGCAAAACTGATTATTTTATCACCATGTTGAGTAACGTCAGGTTCTTGTAATAACCTATCCATAACACCTGAGGGTCGTTCAGTTTACTTCACACCACTCATCGTCAATGTCATTATCAACGGGATTGTTACTTGTCCCTGTGTTTGCTGTTTCTTGATTTCGAGTGTTGACATTGTTTGATGGATTATCTGAAGTTTCGTTGTTATTCTTAGTAATGAATTCTGACCATTCATCGTCATTATTGACTGGATTTGACACATAATTATCCATTACTTGTATTCCTTCGTTTTTGAATATTTCACTAGTCCGAACCAAGTATTGAGCTACTTCTACCACTTTCGTAGGTCTAACATTCTGAAATTGTTAATGGTGTTTATAAATAACCAAGACGACGTTTCAATTTTTTTGGAATAGTTGGTGACTCATTCAATGGTCTTGGTAAAACACTAACGGTTGTGTTAACATCTGCAGGAACATTAACTACATTTCCATGAATACTTAATTGACCTCCACTAGGCAATTCCCGTACGTGCATAAAAGGTATTCTTGGAGAAATTAGTCTTTCGTCAAGAGGTGTTAAGTTTTTTAAGACCTCAGGCTTTTCTGGGAAGGTCATTTTGTTTGCTTTTGCGCAACTTGGAATTTTACCAACTTTTAAGTTTGAGTGACATGTACCACATATCCATTCAGTGTTATCAATACTCTTCACACAAGTTAGACATAAATTAAGGATATTTTTTGAACAAGATTTATATAAAGAAAGATTACATTCACTGACAGATGATCTATACCATAATTGATCACAACAGGTACAAATATATTCTGGTCCCACACTTATGTTCTTATGAAATGACTGAATTGCCTTTGTAAGGTAAATTTGTTGTCTTGAATCATCAGAGTTACTAGGTATCTCTGGAGTCTCAGCTATACTGTCATTCAAATTATTTTCTACTTTCTTGTATTTATTAATCATTGTTCCATTTTCACTACAATCTAACTTTCTTTTAGCATATTGTCTTTTCTGGGTATCTTTAACTCTTTCTGGATACTTTTGCTTGTACATAATATTCAACAATTTTGACGATTCTGCAACCTTTTCAGGATTTAATTTTCTATATGTTGCAGTAGTTGTTTTATTTATTTCTTTAACCTTTTTGGGATTCAATTGTCGGTATGTTGCAATGGATGTCTTGAAACTCTGTTTTACTTTTTCAGGATTTAATTGCCTGTATGTTGCAGTGGATGTCTTAAAACTCTGTTTTGCTTTCTCAGGATTTAATTGTCTGTATGTTGCAGTGGATGTCTTTAAACTCTGTTTTGCCTTTTCAGGATTTAATTGTCTGTATGTTGCGGTGGATGTCTTTAAACTCTGTTTTGCTTTTTCAGGATTTGATTGCCTGTATGTTGCAGTGGCCATCTTGGCAATTTCTATTATTTTGTCAGTATTTGATTGTCTGTATGTTGCAGTTGCTTTTTGCCAAGAGTCCTTAATTTTCTCAGAATTTGTGTTTTTGTATTTCTGATTATTTGTTTTTTTTCTCAGTTTCTTTTTCTTTAAATTTGTTGTTCAACCTTTTTTTCCTCATGTATTCCTTCATATATTCTTTTCTTTTTTGTGAATTATTCATGGAGACTGGCTTTTCCGAGGTAATTTCATTGTTATTAGATTGTGAATTTTGATGGTATAGTTTTTGTTTACAAGTTGCTGTCTGATTTCGTATTTGATTATTTGATTTGACAGGCGACGGGCAAGTAGCGACCAAGAAAGTCAAGAAGAAAGTGATATGAACAATACCCAAATATATCAGAACACTGGCAAGACACCAATAGCTAAATATATCAAGAAGACTCAACATAAAATTAAAGAGAATGACAATGCCATAGAAAAATTGAAACGTGAAGAAAGGTTGACAAAGCAACGAATAGCAGAAGCGAAGTCTAACAATCAATCCGTTGGTAATTTTTGTAGCCAATGTCATCTTAGAATGGGACATACAGTTAGGACTTGTATTTTTGAGCTATGCGACTCTGTGTTCAAATGTGGAGAAGAAAAGCAACATCCCGGAGAAATAGATACCAGAAAGAAAAAGAATGCTATAGTGCGACTGGAGTCAGTCGGATGTAAGTTAGAAGCTGAGCTTCAAAATAAAAAAAGATGCTGCTGAAAAAGTTGACTCATCGATTGTTAATCGTCTGGAGAAAGAAATTTTAGCTGTTGACCAAGCTTCCTACACGTTTAACGGTTTTAAAAACTGGAGTCTTCTCCGAAAACATGTTTTTATTTTGCAATCATATTGCAAGCGTCATTATGGGGGAAAAATTCCTTCGAGACATAAAGTTATGGAGTGTTTACGTAGAGCAATTCAAGAAGACGAAAGTGCTTCGTCTGCGACTGTCGGCATGTCGCAGGTAAGGTCTGAAAAGGATGAGCAATTTCGCATGGCTTTATCGATTAGTTCTTACGACACTGAGCCACAAAGCGAAACTCGTGACGAATTTGAGCAATATAAAAGTGTCACAGACACCCCTGGCTCTGCTATGTCTATGTCTTCTAGCGATGCAGATGCCGCGAGTTTGTTACTATCCTTAAGAATGCAAACAAATGATCATTGACATTGTAAGTTCCAACATTTTCTTCAAGTTACAATGGCTTACTTTGAATGTGAATTTATATTTGTTTAAGAAAACTTTTAATTATAAACTTTCAAGTTATACGTTCCGTTTTTGTGCCGCTGTGGAAATTATCATCTACAATGAACAAAACAAAATTTATTTGTTCTAATGACGTTTTTACAAAATTTACTTGTAAAAAAATACATTTTTTCAACATCAATCACATTGTTTACGTTTTGTTTATACAAATTTTCTTTTTTATCTTGTCCAAAATTTGATATTGTCTGTAAAATGTTTGCCTGTTATCAAAATGAAAACAAGTCAGTATAGTGTAATCACTGACACTGCATGGTGGTAACTTTGGTCTTATTTACACCACGCATATTATCTTTGTAGAAATATGCTCAGATCTCTACCGTAACATTTACATATGTGGAAATAAGAATGAAGTATATTTATAGAAACCCTTCATATCCTCTTGGGAAATCTGTTCAATAGCGAGCATGGCTGCCAAAGGTAAATTGTCATGAACTCGAGATTTTAATTCATAATTAAGTATAGTTTTTATTTTATTTGAAGCACAGCTCTATCGGATTTAAGTGCGGTGAATAAACAGGGGTATACAGAAGCTCTATACCCATCTCTCCCAAAAATTCTTCAAGAACTTCCCCACTCTTGTATTGGTGAACCCACTAAATACTGGGCGATGAGTGTTCAAATTAATAGCAGCCGCAGCTTCTTCAAAAAAATTGAGGAATTCCATGGTGTTACTTGCTCCTGGAATAATGCTATAATAATCAGCTCCGTTCAAAGAAACAAGCAAATTTAATGTACCTTTACACACCTTTCACCGACTGGTGAATGGCAGTAGCGTCTTGTACCAACGTCGGGAATTTTCAGGCCTGCTTCGTCAAAAAATTTTAAACACCAAGGGTCTTCAGAGCATACATAGTCAATAAATATCTGCGTATAAAGCAAGTTCGACTGGGTGAAACGTTGAGTGGCAACATGTGATATTTTTTTCCTGGAACATCTTTTTCCAGAAAGCATATGTTTTCTCACAGCTGGAGATATTGTAGA